CTCCCGGCCCGGTCTGGCTCGGCCCGGCCGGCGGGGCTGTGGCCTACCGGGCGCCGGCGGTGCGCGGGGCTGGCGCCGGGAGGAGGCAGCGTTGGGGCGGGGTGGGCGAGGGCCGGCGCCGCGTTCAGGTCAGCCCTTCCGTGAGCTGAATTTCTTCTTAAGAAAAAGCGTTAAGACATGATTTATTATGTATATCGCTAGAATTAACAGAGCCACATATGGACTAAAGCCAATACAAGAGTGAAGCACTTTCGTAGTTCTTTAGGTTGATCATCTTGATTTGTGTCTGGTCATATCAAGGTCAGGAGATAATGAAGTCTCCCGATTCCAGCGGTGGTGAGGGAAATGCGCTCCGCAAATGTGGTAACTTCAGATCAAACAGAAGTACCCGCTTGTTTTAAGATATACCGGTGTCAGCTGATTGCCGTTTAATTAAAAAGCTTAGCTACTGTCAGTATTGAGGACAGCCACTGTGTTTGTGCAGTGGTATTTGATACACCTGTATATATAATCCGTGACCAGCAAGTGGATGAAAAGGCGTGCTGGTAATACTTTCAAGTTACAAAGTAATTTAGGATAATAAGGGTTGAAGAACTGTTGTGTGGCTGAACTAAACCAAACCATGGCATAACAGAAGATGGATGCAGTAAGGCAGTGAAAAGTAATACTGGAAGGCGCAATTTCAACTGTTTATATTGGTTACTTCTAGATTAACCATTAGGAATACAGACTGGTGCCTGTGCAGGTAGTTCCTTGCCCAGCAGTCAGACCTACATGCACTTAAGTTGTACAAGGAATGAGAAAGAGAACAAGGCTGAAAATGCTCAACGCTTGATTTCGTTCTTAGTTGGAATAGTTTGTGTTGCTTTTCTTATCCTATATGAAAGGTGTAGTTATGATTGTAATTTAGCTTTACTGGTCAGGCATCTGCTTGAGATTGAGCTGAAAATAAGTTGTATTGTAAATGAGGAAATGACCTCAAAGGAGGAGTCACTGTAGATGGTACAGCTGCAAGGGGCCTCGAGATCTTTTGTCTGCCCCTCTTGACCCCAGAGATGGGATCGGTACCTAAGCCTGTAGCTATATAGAAATCATCCTGTAACTGTCTGTGAACCAAAGGGTAGGAAGGGAACTAATGGGAGACAGGACCCAGGAAACAAGAGACTCTTCTTTCCATTAATAGTTAACCTGTGGAACTGTTGATGAGGATGTTCAGGATACTAAGAATGTATGTGAATACAAAAAGCAACTCGGAAGAAAATTTCAACTGAGGACTGTTAAGATATCAGCATGTCATTGGGTCGCTTTGAGTCCCCTGGATCTGGGGAAGTGTCCTGGGAAAACTATCATGACCTGTTTGTCCTCTCCTTGTGCCTCTGATACCAGCTGCTGTTGAGAACAGGGTAATGGGTTGATGTACCCTTGTTCTGACCTGCTATAACCATTTCTTATACCAAGTCCTTACTGTTAGGGAACTTTTTTATGATGCCTATCCTAAAAAGCCCTTGCTGGAATTTAGTTTATTACTTACTGTCTTAGTGGGGGAAACCATTTAATTTCTTGGGGTTTTTTTGTATTTGAAAGTGTCTTGCATTGAGAAAGGAAATGGGAAACTTTGTAACTGTAGTTCCTTTAGCTTTGACTGAACAATAGGTTTAGTTTTCTTCTAATAAGAAAACCACAGAGATTTAGCACAACTTATAAAGAAGCAAAAAAAAATCTGGCATAGTTACTATCAGTCACTTTTGATGTGGTTGAATAGCTGTTCTCAGCAAAAGAGTTCAGAGTACCGTACATGCTATTTAATTTGATTGGGTTGGGTACCTTCTATAAATCACTGGATGGTATATGTGTTGATATCAGAAAGAGATGATAGCACTTTGGTTACAGTCTTTCAGAACTACATGCCTGTAATGGAGTAGCTTTTTTTTCTGCAGTTGTTAACTGAGCTAGAGTTGAAGAGCCTGTTACTATTTGATTAACTTGTGCCTCAAAACAATGGGATCTGAATTCTGTTCCCTGTTACGCACATCTGACCCTTGGTCTTCTATCTATACTTTTAGAGCTATCTTTTATTTCCATAGTATACAGTATAAGCATAATTTAATACGTAGATTTGATCAAATATGCACAGAAGATAGATTTCTTGGGGGGGGGGGGGGGGGG